GGCCTGTGCAAGACGGCTTCTTTTCAATTGGAAGGACTCAAGGCATTCACACACGCCTGTGTGTTTCAAAAAGCTCTTATCACATACACACTTTCGATTTATATTATTAGATGAATCTGAAAATAGTAAAACTATTAGTTAGCTCTTGGCATATATAAAAAAAAGCATACTATTAGATAGTTACGCGAAGTTCTGAGTCGAATAGCGTATGAGACAAACCAACAGAGTACGGAAAAAAAAACAGAACTTTATTTGACTTTAAGAAATAATAATAAAACCAGTAAAACATGCTCTCTGATTTAATCCTTCATATAAACAAACGCGTTAAAAAAAGTGTGGTAGCATTGAAAATAATAGATCACGGCTCGTCAATTAATATAAAACTTTCTAAATTCATATCTATAAAAGCATTAAATAATTCAAAATAATCAAGGAAAAAATTCATAGTAATACCATAAGAAAAAAAGAAAGAAGTACATGAGTAATAAAGTTTCCGACCACCATGAAACTAAGGACAAAAAAACTTAAAACAGCACTTAATTTAGCTAAATCTAGAAAGTTAAGGACAGCAACACCTTAAAATTTACAACAAACGATTTTAATAATTAAGAAAATAAACTGCATCAAACGAAGGGAAAAATCTAAAACTGATCATAGCCATTTGCCAATTATCGCCATGGTCAGCATGCCAGACCACAGGGACACAAACATTACGACTTTCTTGGTTGTCCTCATCGGCATACCGTCGGAACAGTGCGCCTTTATCTCAATCATGAAGTCCGAGAAAAGCTGATTGAAGGCAAGGTAAAGCAAAATGCCACCACAGAAGCTGCTGAGAGATCCCAGCATCAGCGCGAACCCACCACCCGCCATGGCGTCTTTCCGAATGCTCACCGCGATGGTTGAAATGGACATCCCGAGAGGTGCACTCACGGAGAACACAATCGAGAAGATTATGTCCAGCACAATGGAAAACCTGGCATCCACCAGACGCGAGCCAAGCGCCATGCCCTCGAACAGCTGATGGAACACCAAGGCCACGAGCAGCGGCTTCAGCGAGGCGTCCGTCGTGAGGCCCATGTCCAGGCCAACGAAGATGCTGTGGAGGGTGACACCGAACTCCATTGACACGGCCGCAATAATCCGTCGAAGTTGACCCATCGAGGGCGGCGGAAGCACACCGCCATGGCTGTGCCCACACTCCGGTGAATCCTCCTCAGCATCGCGGTTCTGCACTTCATCCTTAGTTAAAGTGCCATAACTTCTTTGAGGAGGATCCTCTTCACCACCTTCAGGGGCCAACGATTTCTGATCCTTCTTCATCCACTTCAAAGCTATATCATTCATCTTGAAGTCCACGGCGTGCATCATCAGGGCTGCAAGTGCAACCAAAAAGAAACCGTATGGTTCATAGAAATCATGCAGACCCTTAGGCACACATGGTTCGTCAATCGCCTCGATGGCAGGAGCGATCAGGTGAATGGTGGACACTGACAGCAGCACGCCCGTCGCTGCCGTCTTGAATATGACGAAAACAAAAGGGTTGCTGCGAAGAAAAGGAATGTACTTCGTGATGAGTGGCGTGACCGTGCCCAGAAAAGAAGAAGCCGACACAATAAAGATGGCAGCGACGTGAAGGCCCATGGAGTACTCACCCTCCAGACCATCGCAGAGCGAGCGTTCCTTAGGCACATCGACTTCACCTGATTGAGAGGACATGACAGCAGTTGCACGGGAAAAGGTAATCGAAACACGAAACGGTATCGGAGCTCTGG